AAGTGATTTATAACAGATAATAATTCTCGATTAAAGTACTTATTAGCACCGCAACTTAGTATAGAGTAACTTTACACCTGTTTAATCTATTAGAAGTTTTCCTTCAATATACTTTTTGTGGCATATGAGCTGACCCAACAATTTATGTTTATAGAAAATGTGGCAACGACGTATTTGCGTTTTGCAACAGTGTATGACGGCAAAATGAAAGCCATCAAAGGAGATTTGAGGAAGTGATGTGTTTGACTTATATCATTTTTTTTTCATTTTACGATTTTGCATACTTATTTGTTTGTAGTGAAAGGTTGAATGTGAGATACAATATTATTCAAATATCTAAAACTTAAATAACTATATTTGTTAGTTTCTTTTGGTATAACCCCCCTCAGAACTTAAAGTGCTTAATAATGTTGTAATAAAATATAATTCTTGTTTAGTTCACATTTTCTTCTTCTAAATAACCTTAAGCGAAAGGTGCCTAACCCCTTTTAATAATTACTTTTCTAATCCAAATTTAGTGTTAAACAGAAATTCGTGCAATTTTATCACTAATATAAAGTTTTGTCTGACAAACTCTGCGGTAAAAGGAATTATTACCATTATTACAGAATATTAGAAGCGCTTATATCCTCATTTTATAAACTGCTTATTTTTTTCCTCTCATATTATTTGGTGACTCGAAAGCCTGGTGAGACTGCGGAGTAGATTATCTAATTGTAATCATCGAAATGCCCAAGTTTGTCACAGAAGGAGCAACTGCTGTTAAAAAAGGGTAGAAAACGCTTTTGTAATTTTTCCCACATACTTTACATGTGTAGGTATAACATTTGTTTCGCTAAGGTTGAGTAATTGTGAAATTATGTAGTTCTTTATTTTATTATAAATAAGATAGTACAGTAATAAGCTTTGTTTTTCCGTTTCAACTTGCAGAATAAAAACACGAGCATAGTTGTAGAGTTCAGAGTTGTGACTAAAAGTTTTTTTAGACATATTCTTTTACTTTTAACCTCGTCTCCTCTTTTATAAATAAGGGCAATTGTTTTTAAATACTTTTAAATACGCTGTTTTTTCTAGATTTCTTTTCTCTTTTAGAGGTTATACATATATCAGGTATGCAGAACATGAAAGTATCGTTATAGATTTGCGTATGTAGATATTTACAATACCGTCAATGGCTTTTCTGAATGCTAGATTTTATGTCTTTAAATTTGTTCTTGAGATACTTGTGTATGCTTTTGGTTATTACTTGTGTGGCGAAAGCATTTTTTTAATGAAAAAGAGGCTCAAGTTCTCCGAATTTTTCAATGTGAAGAAAAGATGGTGAGTACCGTAATAAGTTAGAACAAGGCCAGCATATTGTGGCATGATGTGCTTAAATAGTTTTAATTTGCATTATACGGTTTAATAAAGGCGCCGTGATTATAACGTAATAAAATAAGAGGTATATTAAAATCATAAAAAAAAAGACAGAAGTAATTAAAAAAAATAAAAAAACAAAAAGATCACAAGAAATAGGAAAAACAAATGGGAATACCAAATTCTTCTCTGCTTGAAGGGTTGCTCGGACGTAAGTTCAGTCACGCTGACCAACTCAACAGTTTATGCCATAAATACACAAGAATGAACTTTGTTCATTTTTCAAATCGGTAGATCTTACATACTTGATAATTTCAAGAACTAATATAGTATAAATGAATGAGAGTAAAATATTATATTGTTAGTTAAAAATTAAAAAGAGCTATAATATTTTATTTGATTGCCCTCGAGCCACCAGAATAGCAAAACGCTCACCATCTGACAAAAACCGACAACAAAACCGCGACAAAAAAAAAGGAGCGTGACGCTCACGACATCCCTCAAATGTTTACTCAGGGTTGTGCACTCAGACGGTCAGACTCAACTACATGTAACATTTTATAAAAAATATTACAAAGTAGCGGTTTTTACTAAATCTAGGGAAAAGCAATAATAGTTTTAAAAGTAAATAATTAAGTAAAAATGTAAAATACAAGTTGTAGTGTAGAGAACTAAATTTGTAAGTATTTTTAAAGATATTTGACATTTTTATTAATTAAATATTTTTGAATTCTTTTTACAAAAATAGGCATAAATAATTTAAAAGAAAGAATAATTTAGAAGAATAGTGTAAAATTTAAATTATTTTGCGTGCTGAGAGCCAAAAGTCAAAAAAATTTTTGAAAGTGGTCACTTTATAGCCAAAAGAAGGAACTATTAGATACAAGTTTAGTAAAACCATTATGAAAGTTAAATTATAATACAACATTTATTAATATAAACCATACTTAATGAGAATTGTAGTCTTTTTTTATTAAATGTAAAAACTGCATCTGAAAAAAAAAATTGTTGACTTCGTTATCTACCTCGACGTCCATTGAAAAAGTATCTGCTTTTTAAAAATTTATACTTCATACGAAATCAAAACATTCTAGCTTTCTTCATTGAGAAAATGTAAAATATAAGGTAAAAAAGTGTTAGTTGGTTACGTTAAGCAACGTAAACTTAAAGACCCTAAAACCTCCAAGCCTGCAAAAGAAATATATTAATTTGCTCTTAAGGGTTTAATAAGTAACGAAAAATGAAATCTGTTAATAAAAGAGTAAAAGTACTTGTTCCTTCATAGTTTTGTTACAGTTATCACATATATGTATAATAAAAAAATTTATATTACTTGTGTCGTCCTGACCTTAAATTTACATGCAATATGCAATTCTATTATTAATTTAAGCTGTATAACTTTTAAAAGGAGTGCCTTTGGAAAAAAAAAGTACAACCTTAACAAGAATGGTGGTTTACAGCGTACTATGAATACCTATTTATAGTCTATAATCTCATTTTCATAAATATCCGGCGATTTCAAAGCTTTACGGCCGCCTTACAGTCAACTGCATCGGTCTGCACGCTTCTTAAGGGCTACAGATATCGCAAGCGGGGTAGGAAACAACACGCTTTACTCAAGCTGTGATGCGAAAAAAAAGAAACTTTAAGTCGTGTGAAGTTTAAACTCTCAGTTATTATTTGGCATATTTTTATATTAACATATTTATAGCTTTATGTTATTTCTTTATTTAAAAGAATTGTAAATTGATATACAACGAGTAATGAAAAAAGCAAAAAATAGCTTTGAAAAGTTTCTTGGAAGTAATTGAACTCTTAGCCAAAAGAGCAGAACTCAAGGAACCATTTACGACTAGGCGCCTCCAGAACCCCACAATGAATACCACCATACAATTAGCGGAGCATACACCTTCCAAAAATCATGTCTAGGGAATGCAAACCCCCGTGGGATTGGACTTTGAGGTCAACAAAATTAACTCATTTTGCTAGATTTTGTTACAGCCTGTACTGACAGGAATAAAAAATCAACCCCTATTTTGCTAATTTGAAGGTTCTCTTTTTATTACGCGTACCTACAAGAGGAAAAATTTGAAGAGAAAACTTATAGTAAAAAAAAGTTCTATCCTACCTATATGCATTTCATTTTATACAAGGTAGCAACATTTCAGGAGCCTTCACCAAAAAAATTTTGAAAATTAGCATTGAAAAGATGAATTAAAAAAAAATCGAAAAGTTAATTAAATTTTTTTTAAGTGCTTAAATTAATAATTTCAAAAAACTAATATATCTAAGGCGTCGTCATTCATACGACACCTTAATTTCGTACAAAAGTTTCCTGCCGTGAAAACGCTCGTTCTGCCTCGATGCTTGACGGTGGAGTATAGGGTATTGGTACACCATCGCTAAATTTTTTTCTCGCTGGTGATCTTGCTCCCATAATATTATTTCCTCCTTTATGTTTGCAACCAAAATTTTGGATCGCTTTTAATTTCAAATTTAGAAAGATTTTCGGCAGTAGCCACATCAAGCTGTTCCTTATCGAAAAACTCTCTATTTGTGGAAATTTGTCATAATTTTTCCTGGCTTCATCCTCAGCATTCGGTTGACGTTCGTCCTCACAAGGTAAACGTCTAACAAAACTTTCTATTGTTTTCCACATATATGCAATGGACAAGTGAAAACCGTAGGGGCAACAGCTTTTCTTTCGAATTCTTTCGGGTAATGAGGAAAATTAAGACCAGCGTCAATACAGCCCTTTGTTCAGTTATTCTTTTTTATCGTAGTAGATAATTCACTGCTCAAGTTATTCTTTTGTTGATCCAATTTCTTTACTAAAAATTCCAGGGTGATTTTGGCTCTTAATAAATTCGCGCTGCGCTTGCCGAGAACCTCGACGGCCACTCTGATAGGCTCAAGCGCGCTATGTATATTTCGGAGAGTAATTGCCATTCTGATTCACAAAAACTTATTTCCGTTTGCAACTCTAACAATGCTAAAGTAACATAGGTCCTTAGCTTTAAAAATCTTTCTACCATATCGCGTAGACTACTCCATCTAGTATTACAATCCAAATTTAAACTTAATTCTCTTCCAAACTGACCTTTTACTTTATTTTTGGAGATAAATCTCATTTTTTAATGGAGATTTTGTGATCAACTTTACAACTTTACGGACTTTATTAATTATTTCTTTATAAACTTCTACTACTTCAGTTAAAAAAAACTTCTTCGTTACCAACTTCGGTGAATGTCTCGCCTTCCATCGGTTTCCTTTTTTTTTTTTTTTTATAAAGGAAATCTAAGACTGCTCTCTGGGGGGTAAGTCATGAAGGATAGCACAGCTGCTTCTATAAGATAGGCACAAAATCATATATTGAAGCTAAGTTAATTTTTAACTGACGCTTTTATATTTTAACTCAACAACGCCTAGCTCTGCATTTAACAGATTCTCCCATTCTTATCATTACAATAAACGATCATTACAAATGGCTACAATATCTTTTTCGTACGACACATTAAATTAATTTATTTTCTAAAATTTCGATAATATTCTCGAACGGGATTTTTTTTTTCGTCCGAGAGATTCCTAAGTTGTAAATATGATTTCAATTTTTAATACAGCCATGAACGTTTACATTTAAGTAGCGTCGGTTTCTTTTAGGGCCCATCATTCAATGTTAATGAAAATCTACAATAAAAAAGATGTTATAAATACAATTTATATAAAAAAAAAAAAGGGGGGGGGGGGGGGGGTGGACATAATACTTATGGTTTTGACGGTGCATTGCCCAAAAATTTCCTCAGTAATTCTATTTTTAACGGCATTTCCATATTTCATTACGATAGTTCTAACGGTTTGGGATGACCCAATTTAAGGTACAACTTTTTTAAATCCGTCGAAGTAATAAAAGATTTAAAGGGAAAATAATCTAATGGAACCATTCGCGGTGCTTCCGTTTTAACAAGATGTAAAATAACCTTTAATTCCCTTCTTTGGTTGAAAGAGTGATGTCGGCTCAACAAAAATCGTTATCCGAATTTATTACCAGGTCTGGTCCCTTTTCAATACTACTGGACAGTGTTAATTCCTTAGTAATTTCTAGATTTCTTAACGAACGGTTTTCAAATGAGTATGTAACCCTTTTGTTGTATTACCTAATTTTATAACGCCCGAACGTTCTTTGCACCTTGCAGATTTTATATCCGTACTTTTAAAAAAAATTCCAGAGGGATGCCGCACCGAAACCACTTGTTCAAAGTAACTACTTTCTTTTTTTTTCACTCATCGTACAAGTTTAATTTTAAGTCTAATGTCAAATAATTTAAATATACATTAGCTAAACGACCTCAAAAGAAAAATAAAGAAACGAAACACGCGAGCAAAAAGAAGAAGTAAAACGTGATAAATTTTATTGAGCTTCACTAGAAAAATATATACTAGCACTGCGCCTGACTCAGGACACAAAATTAATCATCGGGTTAGGGTTAAAGATTATACGGTAGCAGTGATTGCTCTATGGTAGTTATTACCTAACATCGAAAATTAACAAAATATATGAGTTTATTTTGCATAATAGGCTAATAATTAATAATAAGTGACAGATGATACCGAACAAAACAGGTTGGAGTTATGAGTCGTAGGCACGTCATAAAGAAAAAAGAGAAATTTAAATCACGAGTGAGAGGACCTTATATTGTTTTGTGAGGATTTTCTGCAAAAGTTGATTAATAAAATAATAAAAGAGATTACAATTTATTTTAATCCAGCAACCTTTGCATTCCCCTAGTCATGTCTTTACATATAATACATCCTGTTAAATTAAACCGCCACAACACCTCAAATAGCTCTACGTTATCATTATTTTTGCTACCAAAGAAAAACATAATTAGAAGCAACTTATCCGTGGTGCAATCCTCCCCGCACAGCTTAAAAAGTACTAAGAAATCATAATTTGCGTAATTCAAGCAAAGGGATAACTTAAAAACATAAAAATAATAATGGAAGTACTTAAAGGATAAATAAATTATATAAATTAGAAGATAACCACTTGCTAAATAATATTAACCTGTAAAATTCGTTTGTAAAGGGACAAATAAAAAAATTAATTTTTTTAAGAAAAGCACGCCAAGCGAGCTCTTTTTAATGCAAAGCATCAAAAATATAAAAACCAGAATGTAACTGATAATGATTTATATTTTGTGAGGCTAATAAACTACACATAAGCTTTTTATAGTAAACGCTACCATAATAATGCTTACTAATACTATATATAATTTATAATTATTACTAATAACACCAATTCACATTAAAAAAAAGTATGTCTATAAATCTGTGGCAAAAGTTTAGCTCGAAAATTAAGGTTTAACCGCTTTCAAAAATTAAATATTCGAATGATGATAAGTTGCTTAACCATGGAGAGCTAAAATACTACGTTAATTGCTTCAACCTTGAAAAAGAATTTAAAGTGTTTATTTGAAGTATTTTTATGGAAACAGGCGTTGAAGATTTAAAAAAAGAACTGGAACTTTAAGGATGATATCTGAACGGGGTGCTCAGAATGCGAAATTTGACGGGAGCGTTGCGTACATATATTTATAAATTAGGTAATACTATTGAAAAGAATAGCAAATGACAGAGTAGCTAATTCTAGAGCAAATGCTATCTTTTCAACACCGCCATGATCCCAAGCTAACCCCCTATCAAATAGTGCTGTTATTATAAGTATATATCAAATGTTAAAGTGTATCACGCATATTAACACCGATAATAATGCAGAGCCCGTGTCCAGTTGGGTGGGTTTCATGATTAAGACGCTGGTTCCGGAACCAAGCTTAGTGTTATTAACATCTATAGGACTAGGAGGTGACCTCAAAAAAGTTTTTAAATGTAGTCTACGAAGTCAACGTTGACCCACTTATAACTGTGCACATTCTGTTTTTGCCATTCGGAGGTTTACATCAGTTCTAGAGAACGGCGCGTATATATACAGTATACTAGTAAATAGCATTTTTAAAATATTATATGTGTCCTACAAGCAGTGCTAAGGAACTCGAGAAGAGATTAAAGTATGTTCGTCAAATACAAGTCAGTAGACATTCTAAAATAGGTCTCATTCACTCTTTTTACCAAAAAAGACCACGGTGCAAAAATTGACATAATTTTCTGGTAACTGACTTCTGTAGTTTTTTAACTATTGAAAGAGATTACTACTAGTTTCCACCTCTTGGATATTAGAATATAATAATTAGCTAGCAATTCTAGAGTGTTAATTTAATCCTACTTAGTAAAACTTTTTGTATATACAGTAATTCTGCTTTAATAGGACTGCTTCACTGACATCACATGCGCCCAGCTATCTGTCGCAACTCATCCCCAATGGCACCGTATAACCTAAGGTCGCCCTATCAGTGGTAAGACTTTGCACAAATTGTTGCATTTAATTTCTAACATTGCAAAGGTTAGTATGGGAATTGCACGGGTTTAGCGTACCTTTTTAAATGGAGCTCTAAATTTGGGGTTGAACACTAACTAAAAGAGAATTGGTACCAATGCGAATCGTTCTACTTAGTATCACTCCACAATGTCTTCTGCCCAATTAGAAATGGAAATAGCTAACGTCAACAGGCGGTGCCTAGTATGTAACTAGGAATTACCGAAGCTTCGAAAATTATTGCAGTTCAAAATTATTCTTTCAATCCTTACCCATATAGTTCGAAAATTGCTAAGCCCCAAATAAATGGCTTAGCTACCTAGGAAAAGACGCGTGGTTGTCCCCAGAGCTATCAAGCAATCTTTATGGCTAGGGTCCTGCTATGGTACTGCTGGAGACCAGAGAGAGTTTACTGCGCCCATCTCGATGCTCGAGCGTGTCCAAAAACACCATGCTTGAAAGAACTCTAAAAGGTTTTACAGTAACTAAAATAAATTTTTATTTCATGTAGCATAAATCTTTTCCGTTTCAAACTTTAAACATTTTACAAGCACAAGAATCTACAGTAGTTGTTGTTTTTCTCGTATCTCAGGTAAGTAGCTGTGCCCAAGCGTGAGTTAAACAGACCTCAAGCTCTCCTAAATATTCCATGAGCTGAGTTAACTATAGCACGGCAACCATGTGGAATAAGCATTCATTGAAACTAAAGATAAAGTCAAATACTAAGGCCTACTTCAGGGGCTCGGTCGGATCCCTCCCAAAACAGGCCCTGATAGAGGGTTATTACCAGCACTATGCGTTCTCCTCCCTCTGATGCACAGAAATAATTAACCCTAGGAAGGATATCCACGATGAAGCCAGAGAAAACATTGCAGGTAAACCTCTCGTACGACATCTTAAAGCGGTTCTCCGGAGGCTACCTTCCTAAGAAAGATTGCGATTGCTCTCGCCAGTTACTATTGTAAAGCGACCGAAAAAGATCGGCCTTAGATCAAATACAAATCTGACGGCGCTCAATTATTACGGTTTCTCGGCTAAGAACGGTTTTTACCCAAAGACTAGAACTCTAAAAATTCGAACTCTACCTTCTAGTAGACCATAGTTATCAAAACTTTTGCTCGACTGAGGTAGTACGAAAAAACAATCAAAAATATCTATGCTTTTCATTTTTAAGAACGGTGTTTTCAGACTTTCTCCAGCATCGAGAAGTGTGCTAAAAACTCTCCTGCTTTCAAGAAGTAATATAGCAGAACCCCAGCATCGGCAATTGATTAATAGATTAGGACACACTCGCCCGTGTTTAATACAAATGAATTAGAATTGGTAAAATAATTCAAGGACTTCAATAAGTTTTAAAACTATGGGAGTGATTATTAATTATATATTGTATAGCGCCTGATGATGTCAGTTTTTCACATTTCTAATTAGACAGATCCTTTTTTAAAATGGTGCTAAAATAGTACTAGTTACGAAAAATTATAACTTTCTACAGGAAGTGTGTATTCACGTGTAGGGGTATTTTAGTTGTAGTAAAGATTCGTGCTGTAGGCAAAATGGGGGATAAAGAAAGGCAATTTTTTTTTATTGTTTTAAGGACCCAGTCTTTATATATTAATTAAATTATATGCTACGGAATGAAAGATATTGCTGCAGCTGTAAATTTTGCCCAGGTCGTGAACACCGTTTACAGAGCTCTACTGTAGTCTTGCGTTAGTCTTACTCTGATAAGACTGGCAGGTGGCCTGGAGAGAGCTTATCCAGGCGATACCGCCTGTTTTAAACCGGATATGTCGAGGATGTCTGATATTGCTGTTTTGCCTTGTGCGTCGGAAGTTAAGGTGCCAGCACGCAAAGGTTGTATTGGTCCGCACGCTTCTCATGTATTTTTCTGTTTAAAATTTTAAGCCGATTATTCCAAGCCACGTGTTTGGGTTAAAGTGACCACAAAGAATGGCAGACAAGCCCGTTAATGCAGTTCATGCAGATTACTTTTTAAGAAGCGACCTGTTAGGGGGGGGGGGGGGGGGGGGCGCAGTAGAGAGACAGTAATAACTTGGTTTGCAAATTAATATGTTTAAAATAAAACACCGGTTAAGCTTTGTTTCAACTACTTGGATTTCTATTACCAAAGCATAGTAAGCTTTTCAAACTACAGGGCAAACTTTAATACTCTACAGTTTTTCTCTAAATAGGGATACAAAAACAACTTCCTTTGCATAAGGAAAAAAAGGTTAGTTGAACTTTATTTTATCAAAAACATAGATGCTAACATAGAAGAGGGTTTTACCTTCTTTAAAAAGGGTCCTAAAACAAAAGATCAAAAAAATTAGAAAGGTTTAATAGAAGCTGCAAAAACAGTGACACTTCGGTTGAGATATTATTATTGTGGTACTGGTAGTAGGCCTCTATCGTCTATGGTAGAAGCAAGTGATAGAGCTCTCAAAATACGAAAATTCTATTACAACGTATTGTAATACACAAACTAATTACTCTCCCAAGAATTATTTAGGTTTATATAAAATTTATATAAATAGCGTTACCTATTCTCTATTGGATTGCGATCACAGAGATCTAGGCTACTATTCGAGCATGATTTAAGGTCAAGGGTTAACCGTTGCCGTTAGCCCTCAGTTCTGCAGGTTCGGTTCGTAACTGGGACACAATGCAGCATTTGTTGCATTTAAGCACCAAACACTTTTAATTAGCGTGACTATGGTACATTTGCTAAGCTCTGGGCACAGGGTTGTAAGCTACTCCTGAGAGTCGCTGATTGTATTAAGCACACACCAAAAGGTTTGCTCTTAAAACTGGTAAAATATCCGGTTTAGACTCTAGCCCTTTTGTAGCTTCTGCAGTACCTGTTCTAGAGTGTACGTTATAGTAAGTAGCATACTTTCGACTGGAGCCTTGTGCTCACTGACTAAACTTAATAGCTTTAGTAACTTATTTTTACTTTGAAACCACTAAGCGAATAGGCTAAATAACCTTCAGCTTCAGTACTTAGCAGTTGACTCGTATTATATTGGGCATCACCTGTCAGCTTTCTCCTGTCTAATTAGGCAAATTCATTTGACCCACTCCATTCTATCACCGGTGAGAGTGTCTGAGTTTTGCACCTTATGTTTTTCATTGGCAAGTAGCAAAAACTGAATGCAAACGGGAAAATGGGACATTAATAAGTGATAGTTCGTATGCCATTGCCTCTTCTCCCGGGCCATTTGTGTTGTCTTTAAACCTAGCAAGTTGGAAACTGGTTGTATATCGAGTAGTACTGGAGATAACAATATACACTTAAATTGGGAGCGGGTTATTAGATTGCATTACTGCTGAGGGATAGTAGAAGCTACTTGTCTAGCTAAATTGTGGCTTTTTTTTTTGCTATTCTCTTAGTAGTGTACGTACCCAGATATTCGAAACATTGATGACACCGCCCTACTGGGTCACTATTATGCAGCAGGTCAACGCTTACTTGTAAGTGACAATAAATTTTAATGTCTTCGGCCAGTAAACAAGAATAGTAATAGAAGCTTCTTAGAGTGGTACTCGGGTGAAATCCCTTAGCACGCAGTGCCGTTTCAATTATAGGTAAAAAGTGAATAGGTCTCGAAAAACAACCTTGCTGGGCTTGTCCTAGGTGACTAAAGGGGTAGTGCTATTATCTGCAGTTCCTTGGTAGTTGAAGGCATCAGGTGAATGCCGTCGCGGAGATCAAGGAGGAAGGAATCTTTGCGCCTAGAACGTTCAGGGATTCTACTAACGTAGGCCACATATTCTTTCAACGAGGATAACAGGGTGATCTTAACTTTACGTCTCTGTAATCTTCTGAATTTGCAAGAATTTCTATTCATACCCGTTTGAGTAGATGCTTACCGTTTTGGCAGCGAAGGTAATGCAACTTTAAGTTTATGTCATTCTTATGTGCATGTTAGAGTAAGCTCCAATATACTATTTGAACCCTTTTTACCGAACGATTGATACATATTAATTGTGGTTTAACCCATATATCCCTAACGACGCTAAAATCACTAGAAGTTCTTATATTAACTGTTAACTAAGTAGGGTCCGTATTTTAACGGCGTGGTGTGAATGAACATTTGATAATTTAGAGGCTTTTATAAAAACTTAGGATAAAAAAAATTTGATAAAGACTAAAAAGGTTAAGTTACTGTTTGCTGTTTAGGATAATAACAATTACTAGGAAAATAGAATTGAAATTATTAGGACGAACGATAAATTAATTTAAGTAATGTTTTTATGTGAAATGTATACCTACACCCACCTCTCGTAGTTCTTACGATTTAACTATATCGCCTTATTCATACATAATTAAAAAAGGTAGAAGTGGAGCCCTATGAATAACTTCGCACTCCACCGAAAAGATTTTAATCTCCTAAGCAAGTACGTTCTTTTATATTACATGCGCTGCTTGCGCGCACGCACATATAAACATGTTTATAAATGTGGTTTCCAAATGGTATGTACACGCAATCTTCAAGTTTAACTTTTATTAAATACTCATTTATCCATAAGGTAACATTAAATTCTGTCTGGTGCTTTGGAAAATTAGTATTTCAATGCATGGATAACCACGCCTTCTATCTCGCTTTTGTTATTGTGGTGTAGGCATAAAGCAATTCAATAATTCTATTTCTGTCACTTCCCTATTTCCACCTCATTGGTGTAGGCGCAATAGTTAGTATATGGTTTAGTACGCGCGCTGATGGCAATAATTAACAATTAAATTCTGCTTTTACGCCCTAAATTAAAGGAGGATGCAAACGTCGACTCCAGGAAGAGTAACGATTTTGTAAATCCACCAGCATTAAAGACTTCATATTAATCTAAAGTAATCAGCAGCAAAAATTAAGGGAGCGCATCAGCAAACTATGACAAGAGTTATGGGGGGTAATGAGTGAAGAATTGCAGGCTCAAAGGATTAAATGCCTTTTAAAGTTGATGTCGTGACACTGGCAGGCCTCTTGCAATATTAAAGTCCTCTTATTGCCAAAGAGAGCTTAGAAACTTATTAAATGAAAGCTAAAAAGTAGTCCAATATATTAAGGGAAGTCTAGATGTTTCTAACGTTGGAAAACATAAAGTTAGAACCGAAGATTTATTTCAGGAACTTTTGTCGAAAGTGCTCTTTATAAGTTCAGCGAAAAAAAGGTGGGGTCTACCTACTGCACAGGATCACAAAAACAATAAGAATATTAACGATATCAATGTAATGCCATCGCCAAGAAAAAAAGAGCCATGTTCTGAGGTTGATGAAAAATATTCAACTGGCCGAAGTGGTGAAAGCTACCAGAGGAAAACCAAAGAAATACTTCTAGACAGTTAGTAGAGATACGCCAAGTAAGTTTAAAAAAGATATTTATAGTAAAAATGAAGTTACCTTCGGAAATAATAGTTATTTTTGTTGTAGAAATGCTTGTGGTAAAAGAGGTTTGTGTAGTGGTTATAGTAGCTGTAAGGACTGTGTAAATAATATTAGTAAAAGTAATAATAATACTAATACTACTAATATTAATAATAATTGCAATTATAGTTGTAGTGCTTGTAATGAATTGTAGAGGCCTCTATAGCGGGTGTTACTTGCCGGTGCATCATAGACTGGTTCAGAAAGAGGTTTTATTCATGTTTCTGTCAAGCGTTTAAAATTGTAAAACTTTTTACGTTACCAAACTACCACATATAGAGTATTCAGGAGAGTAATTTTTTTTACAGAGAAGGTCGTACCAGTTAAACTTTCACTAATAACAAGACCACGGATTGCAATTAAATGTAGTCGTTTACAATATGCCTAAGGGCTGTAAACAATTTTACGGAAGTGCCTATTTTAAAAATTTGGTACCAGTAACTAATTCAAAAAGTAATAGCCTTTTAACTTCAGAATCTAACTTAACAGTCGTACGCTTTAAAAAATTTTATTTTGTTTTTCGAGTAATAGGAAGAGAAGGAAGGTGCAATCAAGTTTACTGCCTTGTCTCGGGGGGTTCATACCTTATAAGAGCTTGAGTTATATTTGTAGAATTAAGGCTAGCACGTGATATGAACATCTTGTGGCGCATGAAGTAATGTAACACTTTGCATGAGCACGTGATAATTAATTTCAACGTCAACCTGTAAGTTTGCCGACACTAACTTGAATTAAGCCCCTTTTCTTTGTTAGTTGCATACCATTATATATTCATTTGTAAAGACAGGTAATTTTTGGTTTTTTATATATATTAATATGGTATAATACACTATGTTGCTAGTTCTTGCATAGTTTGGCTTATTTCCTAAGTTAACTACCTATTTAAAAGTTTTATCATTTTTAATTTTTGTTTATTCATTTAATTAATTATTTCTAATTTTTATGATAGTTTTTTATTAGTCAATTTGGATTTGCTTGTTTTAGCGTATAGTGACAACCGCATAAGTAGTTACGATTAGAATACTAAGCGGACTACCACCTTGGCGTAGTCTGGTGCTTCTTCACTAGCGTGAACGGTAGGTTATAGTTGTGCTGAGGGTTTATTTGCTTGCAAAAGTTATATGTGCATATGCATAGGTATTACCCGCTTTTAAAATTGTAAAAACTTGTTATAGTATATTTAATTTTACACTAGAGTTCTGCTTGAATTGCTTGTTGTATCTGTTGTCTTCTGAGACGACAGTGGGATCGGTCTACTCGAATAACTTTGTCTGTCTTACTATGGGGATCAGATTTGGTGTGCCAGTAATGAATTACCATTCGGTGTACAGAGAAAAGTAGGAACTTACTGGCTGTGATGTGCAACTTTCCTTTTAATCTGTTAGATTATCAACTAAGTCGTACAGTGGACACCTAAAATTAAGGTTTTAGTCTAAACAAAAACTATACCTGCTCAGGCTTGACATGGTTGTACGTCCTATGCTTTCGTGTCGTCTTTGAAGGTTAACCGAACCAACGTCATATAGAGCTAATATGATCAATGGAGTACTCAATCACTTTTAGAAGTGGGGGTCGTGGATGGTTATTTAGGACATGGACTGGAAATGCTTTTAAACTTTAATTACGTTACCTCGTTAATATTACTAGACAGTGGCCTGAAGTTAGAATTCTAAAGTCTAGTAAGTGCTATAGTTACCACTAGTACTTTCACAAAAAAGTTTATTAAAAAAATCTTTTTTTTATATATAATTAAATATGATTAAAAAATTAGAAAATAAAAGATTGGAGCTAAGTTTGCGGAAAACAAAAAAAAAGCACATTAGGAGTTATTTAAAGCTGAAAGGAGCTCTGCATTAAAGGCCACATGTTCGCCTTTAGAAAAAAGGTTTGTGGCCGTATGTCGACTGTTTACGGCTTGTGTTTTCTTTGTTTTGAGCTTACGGGCTTAACATTGCGGTTTGAAGTGTTTAACAGTTTTTTCTCCTTTACTTAAGTAGTATGTGTTAACGTAAGTAAGAATGAAAAATTCAGAAGGCTTTGAGGGCACTCATACTTCTCTGGCTGAGTTTCTTCAAGAGTTTTTTAAATTTTATGGAAGTCCCTCTTCCGTATTTAAGATGATTGAACTTCCTTCTTTAGCTAGGCCACCTTATCCAATTCCTTGCTTAAAGTCTCAGGATGTAATACTTGCTGAAAAATTTAGAGATTCTTGTGTAACTAAAGGCATTATCAGTTATATTGCCGGTACGACCTTCTTATCAGAGTAATTGTCTTAGCTTTACCAAAAACGAGTTTTTTATTTTTATCTTTACCTTCTTTACTACCTTGAGGCTTTGGTCTAGGCGCTCTATTTGGTCTTTTAATGGATGGTTCACAAGTCGTGGGTACCTTAATTTTATTTTTTTAAAGATTTCTAAAAATTTTTTTTACTGACTATAAATGTTTTATTTTGTATAATTTCGGTATTTCTTATCAATTAGACGAGAAGACGTCCTTTAAGAAAATTTTTAAGGATAGCTTGTATAAAAGTTTATCTACAGGGAGAAATTTTGCAGCTTTTGGTTTCGCTTTTGCCATATCTGAGTGTTGCATAGAGTCGTACCGAGGATCAACAGACAAGTTAAATCCCATCCTTGCTGGCTGTGCTACTGGTGGTGCGGTGGGCTTTCGGGTTAATGCAAAAGCTGGCGCTTTTGGCTGTGCTTCGGTTGCCGCTTTTACTTCTTTGTTTGGTAATTAGTTGCTCAATTTTTTTCTCTCTTTCTAATTTTTACTTTATTCAGAATTTTTTATAAGCGGTTAAATGTATTATTATTATATCCAAGTTTATTTTTAATTAAAAAAAAAATTTTCGAAAAAAATTTCTTATTTTCGTTGCGGAAGTTACATATATTCATTATCTGTTTGCTTTTTCAATTTATTGATAGCTATAACCAGTGATTAAACAATAAGTTTTATTAGAGGCAAGCTACTTAATATAAGGAAAGAAAGTCATAAAACCAAAGACATAGTCGGTTTCAAATTAAATTATTTTATAAAAAGATTCAGGTTAATAAAAAGTATGTGGTCAATAAAACTATTTTATAGTGTTATGTCGCAATAAATCGTGCTTCTTCAAGATTTGAAGAAGGCTATCATCTTTTTTTTCTGAAACTTAGGATAAGCAAATATGACTTGCTTACCATAGGTTTGTTATAACCTAGTGCTTTGGTGAGGGGTACGTTTTAATAGTGTAGAAACAATCCTCAGTTTGTTGTGATCGTAGGCTTCAGATTACTGGAATATCTAGGCTATAGCAGTGAAAGGAATAATAGACATGAGTAGAATATGAATTACAAATGACCACTTGAGCGGTCAAGGTATTTATTTTTTATAAACTGGTATTTTCGCGGAGAAACCTAAAAAGGAAAATTTGTGTAGACATATTACATTTCAGAATCCAAACAGCGGCCTGAGTGGAATGTTTTATATGTAAAAGTAACACGTATTTATGAGCTCATATTATAAATTCGTACGGCAGGGCGTTAGACCAAAGAAGAAGAGTTCTGTATAGGCATGATCTTACTGTTCACTATGAAGCCTTCTCCCTAGACGAGAACTGTTATAATCTACAAGTTTTTAAGCTCAACCTATACAATCCTTGAACGACTAGGCCGTCGAAAACAGGCAAGCAAGGTCAAAATGTATAGGGAGACAAATCTAACAGGTAAAAAACGCCCACTCAAGACCAGCCCACCGGGCAACGAGAGTTGTCGCAACACAGCGGTTAAGGGTATTGATGCGCATACTAACAAGAATTTAATATAATTTGAAGCATTCTGTTTAAAAAAAAGTGTTTATCCAATATCCAATAAGCAGTGATTTATGAACTAATCTAGATATTTTAGATTATTTAATGATTAGATTAAACTTAAAAGAATAAAGAACTGTGTCGGTTAATCTAATTATCTCCCTGTCTCATTATTTTTTTTTTTTAATTATTTTTCTTTACAATTTATTTTATTAAAACTTTTACATATTTTTTTATATTGGTTCATATTTTTCTACAATGTTCTCTGAATGCTACTACATAACCAAGGTCATAGGTTCCGTTCCCACCGGGGCGGCGCTCTTTTTCAGTCTTTCATGGCCGCATATTAACTTCGCTCTTTCAAATTCTATTAAGACCCTCCGCTTTATTAATTTTTTGTTTATTTTTAACAATGACATTACCGCAGGCGTAATAAACCAGTTGCATCTATCTAAATTTCAATAGTTCCAAATAGGATAAATATGCCTGAAATCATGGTTTTAGGGTTTTTAACGTTTGTGTTGTGCCTGCAAATTTGTTCGTACTATTCTAGTTAAAAGCATTCATATTGCCTTAGTCTACAATGTTAAAAAGAGCTTCTAAAAATTTAAATGTACGGAGTGTTCTTTACGTTGCTCATTGTCATCGAAACTATATACTTCTACTAAGTCAAGGGACGTGGGAATTCTGCTTTTAATTTTAATAAGTTCCTGGGGGACAAAAGCCCTGTTTATTAATTCTTTCTTGATACCTATCGCGAGAAACGACCTTGAGTTCGTATTTAATAGGGAGTCGATGCTAATAATATATCTTTAAATTTTATTAAGAATAGTTTCGACTTTAGTAACCTTGCTTACGAAGCCCTTAGTGTTTCCAGGCCCTTGGTTAAAGATTTTACTTAATTTGAGTTCAATTAAGACGCCCAAGACAACCTAATCCATTTCCATTTGTAGTAATAGAGCTCTATCATTAATCTATCTGGATATATAACGTTATTATTACTTTTGTTATTATGGTGACTTTTATTAATGAGAGCAGTGCCTGTAGTAGTAATTCTTTCTATTAACACTATTTAATATAGCACCTATCATTTCATCATCCATTAAGACTGATTCAATAAATATTTGAGTTTTTTAGAAACTGTGTTGGCATTTAAAGAGAGAGCCCTTCGGTCTTTTAGCCATTTTTGAAAACTTTTACTCCATATGCCGTATTGTCGTTTTTAAAATTGCGCTTGCTCTTAAATTCAACCGTCATAAAATTGGCGATAAGTTCTTAATAGTCAATGCCTAAATAAGAAATGAGAATTTAGGAAGAAATGAAGTGCTAAAGATGATTAAAAAAGAATATTAAAGAAGTAAATACATAAAATTATAAGTTTAATTAATTTTTTCAAATGAAGCAGTTTTTGTAGTAAGCGTAGCAAAGCCACCAAGCTGCCCGAGGACCATTCGAAGGCACAAGGACGACCACCTTAAAAAGGGTATGTACCTCATACCGAGAAATTTTGACTTATTTGTCTATGCCAGATTATGAAATAAAATAAACTTTTTTAAGGTTTAAAGGTTTTATTGAGAATACCTTATCAATTTTAATAATTCGCTAATTTCAAACAAGTGTCTAGGATGACAACATTAGTACGTGACAAAAATATGCTGCTTAGTCACACGTTTTAAGTTTAGACTGATATTAATATAAGCATAATTCGCAGTACTCCTGTGTGTATTAGTTGACTCTTATTTAAAAATAATTTTTTATTATTATGATTCCTTAGTGATGGTGCTAACATATAGGCGGAATATAATGATCAAAAAATTAATTATGAAGTTCTATGTTATATATGTCCATATATCTACATAGTAAACAACAAAATCTAGGCATAGCTTATGAACGTGGTCTTTATATATTCAACTAAAACTTTTTAAGAACCTTATAGATAAAAAACTAACAGACAACCCTTTGAGACCAAAGTCGCTCGTGCTAAATGATTTACTAGCTAATAAGAAGGCAAGGTCTTCTATCATACTAAAGAGTCTTGATCACTCTGGAACAGTTTATTAAAAATTACATATACGTCTAAATAACAATAAACCACACAAAAATATTAATTTAAGGTAAATTGATTAAAAAATCCGTAAACTAATATCTATGAAATAAACGCATTATTAAACAGTTTGGCAGAGGCTATATTAAACAAATATTATTATATACAGATATGGTAATTATTGTATAGACATATCCTTTAAAGGGAATCAAATTAAACATATTTATCAGAAATACCTTTTTTAATCTGTAAAGGTATATAACGGCATAATTGCCTATTATAAAACAACAACGAGGATTCGTGAAGTTGTGTACCACCCTAAACGCCTCTTGAGGAGCTGAAGGCATTAAAATGCGAGCGGAGCTTTTTATCCGAGTAGTCATGGTCTTCCTACGTGCAGAAGACTAACTAATACAGCGCCAGCACATCAGGAAAAAGCTGATGGCGCACATATACCGCCATTGGAATAACAAATTGAATAAACTATCGGAAGCTGGTGTCATCGGTTGCGCCTCTTTCTGAAAATTTGTCAATTGTGTAAGGAATTGCGATTATTCGACTCGGTCACCACTTCGCAACGGCGGTTCCGTAGCTGAAAGCAATGAAGACAAGGAGAACCTTTAGCTGATCATCTGGCTGCCCAGTGTTCGCCGTCTACCCCCTCAGCCGTCGATAACGCTCCCCTTGTGCCCAATGTTATCTCCTCTGATACTACTGATTTTCAGGAGCTATCTACCACTGACGAACTCAGATCAGTTATCAAATTACTACCGAAGCGAAAGGCGCCCAACCCTTCCCGCATTACTAATCTAATTTTAAAACAGCTGGAAGAGGCTGCTATGAATCACCTATGCAGCCTCGTCAACCCAGAGGTGACCTCGGCTATTTTCCCGGGCGTTGGAAAATGGCGGTAGTCGTGGTGTTACCAAAAACGTCGCAACCGTCGCAACCGGAGTCAGAGCCTCACAACCATCTACCCATTAGCCTTTTGTTGGCAGTTGGTAAGATGACTAGGCAGTGAACATAAACGTTTGAAGGCGGTTGGTTCGCTCGTGAAAAATTTTACCAGAGTTTCAGTTTTTGGACTTCGCAAGGTACATCTACCACACAACAATTCTTCGCCTAACCGAGTGGACGGCCAGTTCCTTTAATTTCAAAAAAGTCACTGGTACTGTCTTTCTCGATGCTAAGAAGGCTTTTAATCGAGTATGGTATGGTAGCTTGTTATGCAAGCAACATGCTTTGGCGATGCCGCGCGGCCTTCAAAAAAATTTCTCAAGTCATACATAACCGGTCGGTTCTTCAACGTGCGAGTAATCTCTCCACCGTCGTCGCCTCGCTATCTTACAGCGGGAGTTCCACCAGGCTCTCTTCTATTACCGCTGCTATTCGTGTTCTATATGAGCGACATTCCTCTTCCAGTTCACACCCCTCCCCGTGGGTCGCCATTTACGCCGATGGATCTATGATTTATTATCCGTCAAAGTCACCCGTTTTACTAGGTTAGCACTTAAAATTTTATCTCGACGCGCTTGCTAGCTGTGTTGTCAATGAGGCCCGTCCATAAACGCAGCAAAGAGCAAGGCACTTCTTGTAATGAAGAAAACGCTATGAGTTGCCGACTCCGTTAACTTCTAAGGGGGTGGAAGCACCGTGGTGTATCCAAGTAAAATACCTGGGGGTCATTATAGATTCTTAGCTGTCCTGGCATCCACAAGTAGGTTAAGTAGATTACGTGGCTTTGAAGGTCAGTGCAGCGTTCCAGATGCTATATCCTCTATTGTGCAAAAATATACTTTCGTTGCGCAGTAAGTGAAGACTTTACACACTGTGCATTCGACGAATAATGACATATACACCTCCTGTCTGGGCCTACGACTAATCGGCAATAACGTCCTCGCTTCAAGTCCGACAAAACAAACTACTGCGGCCTTTAACAAACAAAGCTCCGTGGTATATGTGCGCAATAACATTTTACCACGAACTACAGATCGAGCTGCTGACCATACTTTAAAAATGATGCCGTCGCCCTCTACAAACGGATAGCTGAACACGCTAATCGCCTATTAACGGAAGAACGCACTTACGAGTTGTGAGCCTACATTACTGCCGCCCACATGACGCACTCTTAGCATAACGGTTAAAAGCTAAGTTGGGGAGATTAAATCGAATGTGAAGGGCACTATTCTAGATAATAATTTTACTTGTACTCGTGGACGACTAAAAACCTGTTTGAGGGCTGGTGTATTCCTTGTTAACTCGATCGGGCACCAGAGGACCCCATTAATGAATAAATAAATAAAGAACGTGGTATGTGGTAAAACCTAATTTTTTTTTTTCTTGAACTTTATATCATTCTTTATAGACCCCTTCTTCCCCCCCAGGAAGCCGTTAAGAGTTAACAATGTTGGCGTTGCATAACTCTTCTTTCTTACCAGAAGCGCCTTGCTCTTTGCTGCGTTGATAAAGGGGTCTCAACGTGCCGACGAAGGCGATTAAGCATCATTTTTTCTTCTTTGCATGGAAAGGCCATGACTACTCGGGTGACTCGCAAATGCTCGCATATCAACCCTTAAATGCATGATTTTTTACTTTTATGAAAAAAAAAAATTTTTTTTGTCAAAGGTTAAAGAAATGAAAGGAAAAATTGTTAAAAAATCTATTTTGTGTTTTTACCTAACAAAGTTCACAACTTTTTGCGTGTTTTATATATGATACATTGCGCATTGTGGTAAATAAAAATCCTGTTTTCACTCCTTATGGGATCCACTTCGACTTTTAAGAGAAAACATAAGTCAAAGTCTTGCTTGTATGATTTTTGCTTCTCCCCCGGTTAGGCTTCACTGAGACTAGAGATCAATTTAATCTTTTCTGACAACTTAAGGTGGTGCTACCGCTGCTGGACTTCTTCGTTTACTTTTATGTCATAATAATGTACTGCACAACTTAATGGTAGTCCTCTTTTAGATGGATCTTTTCCCCAATTTTAACAGGGTACGGGGTCTAAATAAAGTGTTCTCGATTTGGTGACCGTATGTTTTTTTACCAAATAGACCCTTTTGTACACAGCACAGGCGTTCATTAGTGCTATATCAATGAAATAGTAATATATTCTAATATACCATTTCTTAGCCTAATTCTGAGACGGCCGATATAGCTTTTAAAAAAACCCGCTCCACCCGTATGATTTTTGTGTGTATCAACAACCTCTAGACCTGTAACTTGTTTATATTCTTTACGTTTTCTCTCAAATCTACGATCTGCAGTTTGTGGTTGCTGTCCCGAAAATGTGGCATTATAATTATAATATCGTTATCTTTTCATGTTAAACAAGAAACTTCATCGCCTACAAATAAAAGGACTTATTCGAGGTTTTTTGTCTTAATGCTACTCAGTGGAATTCGTGCACATGGGAGTTCGGTTTCTTCTCAATGTTCCTAAAGGTAAAATATTTAGGTTATGGTATACGCCATAAAGGGGGGAGAAGTAAAATAAGTATCAAATCACAGTTTGAGGAGTTTAAAATTTGAAATATTTCCTCCGAAACAAGCCACATTTGAATTGCCCCAGCGTTTGGTTCAATTATAGCTTTTTATTTGAATTTTCTTTTTGTCCCGAAAACACCTGGTATGCCTGGACATCCCCAGATACTCCGCAAAAAAAAAATAGCTTGAAAGCTCTATCAGTTGGGTTTGTTCGCCAAACATTGCTTCAAATGGTGTCTTACCTTGGCTGCACAAATTTGCTCGTCCAAGGACAAAATTTCTTCCAAGGGTACAGATATGAATTTTTCTTGCAAACTATTTATAATAGCTCGTATTTTATGCTATTTGTCAAGCCTTGGTTGACCAATAGGAACTTGACTGTTATTGTTATTAAAATGTAGAATCGGACGTCAATTTTCAAAATCACTGTCAGTCACTCCAAATATTTTATTGGTAATACTTTGAAACAATTGCAAAGGAATCTTAAATATATAGTCTTCAGTGTAACCTTCTATGTCAGAGCACACAGAAAAGGAAGAGTCCTAAAATACATGGAATTCAGTTTTTTTATTGCACAAATTTTAGAAACTAATGGACTGAAGAACTTAAACGGGAAATCTAGTTCTATGATTTTTAATGTTAGGTTTGTATTGCACAGAAAACTGTTTGTATGTAGCAGAGAACTTCAAATTAGTATTTTTTGATATGATCTTTTAGCTCTAATAAAAACTTTTGTGTACGAGAAGACGAAGTTGATGGTAAATTTTGGGTTTGGGGTAACTGAATGTGATAGACTTCCTATAAGGGGCGTCAGGCGTGACTTTAGTGACTGGAACTTATGGTGAAGTAGGTTCCAGCAGACTTAACGAAATAATTTTTTGCTGCTGTTGGTTCAATATTCACATCATTTGAAACCAAACTTATCTTCACTTTCTGGTGCAATATTTGCTAATTCTAACCGCTCATCATTACGCAGAAACCTTTTTCTGTTGAATTATGCCACGAACAACACATTTTAGAAGGTAACACACATTGTATCATATGTAGTACCCCCACTAAAATGCGATTGACACAATTAAACTCTAATCAAAAACCATATAAATGCGAACAAGATCTACTTGTACATAAACTAAAAATTATTTTATTGGCTCCTAAGTCGATTAAGACCAGTAGTAGCCACTAAAAACAAATGTTGTCCGCGGGGACGCTCTTAACGAATACAGCAAACAAAAAAAATTGGTGTCTCATCCTGTTGATTCTTACAATTTTAAATTAAATACCCATAGTCACATTTATGATACATGCTTTAGTTCATAAAAGAGCTACTTCATTGCCCTACTAGCCTTGAATATATGCATATAAGTGTTAATGCCTTTAGTCCCTCAGAAAGGCGTTTAGGGTTACGCAACTTTTCGGGAAGTGTTTGTTTTGGGGGTTTGGTTATATTAGTATTTGATGCTTAAAAAATTAATTTTTAACTAGCTTAAGGCGGGCGTAGACTTTTTGGAGTTATGTGAAATCTAACAAGTGAATTAAGGTTCACTATTAAGGCTCTCCTTATATCTTTCGTGTTTATATAACCCTATAATTTATCTTTATTGAACTTTTTTTACACAATCTGCGCTGGCTATAAGACCTTGAATGCTTAAATTATAAAATTAGGGGGCAAGAGGTCGAAGTTTGCATTTTATCCCACGATATTCTGGCCGGGTTAACATAAGCTTGTAATAGACCTCCTATAGCAGAGTTTACGCCTTGCAGGGCACTTCAATTTTTAGTTTTTAGTAGCATTAAGATGATCCCTCCAAAATTTAGTGACTTAGGAAAAAGTATAAGGGATTTATTAAAAAAGGATTACCACCATCCTCTCCAGAAAGTGGAAGTATCGACCCTGACTAAGGAAGGGATTGTAAGTATATTTATATTGACCTTGTTATATATCAAATTTACTCTTTCTTAACTCTATTTTTGTATTCAGCTTTTTAAGGCCAATATTTTCAACGGAACCCAGGCAGATTTGGAAGCCACCTTTCCTTATAGACCCTTAAATGCAATAATAACTGAAAATTGGAGCACTAAGAATATACTTACGCAGACCATAAGCCTTGTGGATCCCTTGTTTCAGGGCGTTAAGATAGACATAGACTCCACCTATGCACCTAATACGGGGTTGCTTTTCATATATTATATTAGGTATCAGCCACTTATTTATACTTTACCCAGCGCTTTGGCAGCTATACTTTCAACAAGCTTTGCACGTCAGAATTATAACTGTAACGCTATAACGGACTTTGCGCGTTCTACAATTACTACCTCTGCTGTTCTAAACTTCGAGGTGTGTTGTATAAATAAGCATTTGTGTAATATTGCCATCTTTTTAATGGCATTAAGTTTCTTCCTCTATAATAGAGGATCCTACTTGGGGGCCAGTCCATATTCAATTATGGGAAGGGTAAAGTTGATGGATATTCGGTCGCTTTGGGGTACATAGGGCACGATATGGCATTTCATGCAGCGTACATTATAAACTTTTTAATTGCATATGCTTAAATAAACTAGTTTAACTTAAATTTTTAGCACTAACTTGAGAGATATACTAAATCTGAGTGCTATTCGAAAAATATCCGGCGATGTTACTGCGGCCGTAAGTGTCGATATTTCCATGGGTATGTCGGTTTTGTGTGCTATGATGGTCTATAGTAAGAGCCTTGTTACATTTTTAGATGCGGAGGGTAGTGTGGCAAGCCAGTTTCAAGTTGGAGGAAAGTTCTCTCTAGAGAATGGGGCTGTTTTAAAAGCCAAGATAGATAACAAGGCAGCCCTTGCAGTCTCATACACGCAAAGCATTTCTAAGAATGCATCTATTGGCTTGTCCATGCTTATTGACACTACAAAGCTGGGCTCTGACGCCCACCAAGTCGGATTTAACGTCGCGCTAAGTGCTTAAGTATTAAACCAAACAATAAAGCGCTAATAATAATGCTTTATTCCGTTACTTTGATGGGCCGAGTTCCGCTAACTTGTCGCCTTTGTCCACCTTCATAACCTGCATGCAGCTTTTAATGCACTCAATGAGGAGAAAACTCATGTTATGACCTTTATGACTCCCGTGGCGTTCAGTTTGTCAAATAGAAGACCAAGTTTCTCCGCCTCTTTTTCCTTTTCTTCTTCAGTTAATTCCTGTAGAGAGTCGGGTTGTTTCGTGGCATAACTTAATAAAGAGACTGAGAAAAAAAAGAGGCGCTTAGCTTAAAGTAATCTCACCAGCCAGTTATGGGGTTGATCGCTTTTCCTTGGTAGTCGGAAAGGATTTCCTGCTCCACATCCTCGTCATTATCGGAAAACTCTAAATTCAAGGAAACAAAAGATATTTGGTAAAGGAAGTAAAGCCAAAAAATACCAGGAGGGTCCTCGTAAGAGAACAAGTCTCCTAGCACCAGCAAACCTGTAGTAGCGTATGGCGAGCACATTACTCGAATTGTCGCCTTAATTTAAACCTGCGGCGTTCCCATAGCCTGTGTACCTGGCAAGTCTGGTCACTAAAAAGAAAAACAAGGGTATGTTTTTAGCAAATTGTCGAGTGCTCTCTCTGAAAACATGAGCCACCGTTTCCCTTGCAGAGATCAAGTAGGAAGCCCCCCACTGCGCAATTCAAGTTGCCAAACGGTGAGCGAAGCAGTTTTACCAACCGGCCTCGGTAGCTATCCTCAGCTTCTGGTCTAACGTTATAGTTTCTACTTGAACAACACACAGCTTAAATTTGAGGCTACGTTAATATAATATAACTATGCCTCTTTGGGTTAAGTATTTTGGCGTAAAAAAACTTTCTTAAACTAGAAATACTGCGTGAAGCTCTTCGTAATACACTGAAAAGGGCGACAAGGTTGTCGCTAACGCCTTTACAGTCGCTGCGATAAGATATACGTAGAGTTGGTGCGCCGCTAAAAGCGCGAAGGAGGGGAATGTAGAGTATACCCTCTATCAAGCCTTGCAGCCTGCCGGTCGACGTAAACTAGTATGTTAAAGGCAAATTCATAATCGTCGTGAGAGTGACTGTACATAACGAGAAAATGCTCGCAGCCGGCGGGGAGGTTGAAAAGTATGTTCAAAGCTTGTCCCTCCGCAAATGATTTGTCGATAACCAGAAAATCAGAAACTACTAAAGTAGCTTTGACAAACCACAACCTCCAGGTAACATTCCTCTTGGAAGCTCAGCATGTTCTTTACAAAACCAGCGATAACATGCACCATGCTACGGAAAATATGAACTAGAGTATACAAGTCTTTAGTAAAGCGATATGTACCAAACAAATACATGCTTGTCATGCTCTAAAACTGTATAACCCCTGTTGGAAAAGCGACCAAACTTAACGGTGACAGTGAATAAAATCTTAAAAATTTCGTTGATTATAATTAAGTCGTTCTTAAACTCCTGAAGGGAGGAAATTTCTTGCTCGAAATGTGCGAACTTTTTCAATAAAGAAAGCAATGTGTCGCACCCTCCAGAATTCCAAAAGGATTCCTCTAAGTCATCTTTATTTGCGGCTTTATTAAGCAACAGAAACAAAATCGTCAACTCGTATCTCACTAACAGAAAGGATAGTAGCAAATTACTACCTTATTGCTGCGGATAAAGGAGAGAATTTATAAAGATTAGCAGAGTAAAATTATTTAAAAACTAAATATATTCTTTCGAAAAACTATAACCCAGTATGCAACATAACATTGTTTAGCTGGGTAAATCGTTAGTTGAAAATAATATATATTAATAAAAAAAAGGATTCCAAACTTTCTTATATTAGTTTACGCTTAAAAAATAGCTCTGCGTCGATGTTAGAACAGTTATTTAAGCTTGCTAGAATAAAATGAATAGAAAGCCTATATACACCTTTTTCAAAGTGAAGTAAGGAAAAAAGGTGCAAATCGTTGCCGTGGCTATATTGAAGATCGCTTAAAAGACGTTGAAAACGATGCTTCAGAGTAAAAGCACTGCAAACGTAAAAGTAGCACAAAGTAAATCCTTTCACAAAGTTAGTAAAAAAGATTAAACTCAGTCACTTCTTTGACGCCAAATATAAGGTTATGCAAGCATTTTATCGCTTCCGCCTTGACAAAGATATCAAAGTTACAGCTTAGTTGTTTAGGTTCCAAGGTTGTGTCGGAGAATTTCGCAGGCTTAGTAAAGGAATCACTTAACTGAAGGTAGGTCTCACTTCTTATCACACCAGCGCAAAGGAGTAGAAGTTCAATTCCTTCGTCATGACACAGATAGCTTAATTTAAAAAAGTAAATTTAATTGCTAAATTGTGTAATTGGCTATACCCTAAACCAATTTTTTCTCGACTTAAGATGCGAAGGGTGCAAAGGGATGCTTTAAGATAGTCACTATATTTAACCATACTATAATTTTATCGTTAGATCTTTATGTACTAATGAAATTTCTTAAATAAACAAGACCGTAAGTACAAATAAATAAAGAGCTTACTCAATATTCTTAAGAAAGGAGAGGATGGCATTCACAAATTTCTCTTTAGAAGATATGGAGCAAACTCGATCGCAAAAGCAAAAGCAATCTTCATTTTCAGTGACAAAGGCCTCTAATAATTGTGTAAGTTTCCCGATGTTGTTTAGTCGCGGCGTTAAACATAAATAACTTTTCAAGGGCTGCATTAGTTTATGGAAAGAAGCAGAATAAACAAAAAATATAAGCAAAAAGTAAAATACACTCACAGTCAATTCCTCGCATACATTAGCCATAGTATCCAGTAGCGACCCTGAAAGGTAAATAAATGAAGAGACGTCTGTTACAACTGAGAATTTTTTGTTATACGTAGTTGAGGGTTGAGAGGGCTGTCGCGGGCGTTGAGCTTTTTCTTTTTACTTCGTCGTTGTTGTCAGTTTGTCAGTGGCGAGCGTTTACAGCTTTTCCCAATTATTAACTAACCCTATATTATATTCTCTTGTAATTTAATATAATTTAATACTCTCTTTTGTTTGTAATATATTAGTTCTTGAAGTTATCAAAACTGTAAGGTCGCCATAAAAGAAAGCCTTACACTTTTAATTGTAGCTTGCGATTACGTTGGTAGATTGTTGATATTGTTAATAAAATATTCTCCTATGGGGCACTTTATTTTATTTAGTCTAGAATCTTTTTTATTGGATCTAATCCATTAAATACAGAAAACTAAATAAAAGCTTAACACAAATTCTTTATATAGTTCAAACACATTTTATTTACAAATACCACAGAACTAATATGATAAAGTACACCCCTTAGTAGCTCGTCAAACATTCTAGGTATTGCTGTTGTATAAAAAAAATTTGCTGAAAATAACAAATCGTTACAAACCTTCTCAGTTGACTACTATAGATGCCCGCCACACACCGAACATCTTTTTATAAAAGTTGAAGGGGATAATTATTTATTTTAATTATTCTAAATTACTTTTAAAAATTGTTATTAGGCGCAATTACACTTGCTACCATCGTTAGGCGGCTTACTACCAAACTACTAATATTTCTTAAGTACCTAAATATACTTATCCGCGAAAACCGCCCAATGTTCTGGTTCTGTCTATCAAAAAACAAGCTTAGGGTAGTAAGACTTACATTTAAGAACTATTTTACACATTATTTCGATATAATCTCCATCTTTTTCAGTACATATCGACTGTGCCATTTCTTTGTTTTACGAAGAAAAATTTCGAAAATGTTTCTAAAGCCGACCCCATTTCGCTTTCATCGGAAGATTTTCGACCACTTAACGCCTTTTCTAAATGTTTAAACAAGTCAAAATCGCTGGGAGACAGAACTGGGCTGTAGGGTGGACGGTTAGTTTACTTGAAGCTTACATCACAAGCACGCTTTATAAATTGTTCTGCTAAGCTTGCCCCTGCGTTTTCCAATAATGGCTTGTTGCAGTTAAGTGATTATGTCAGCATGGTGCCCGTTCATCATGCTTCCTCTAGGGAGGCAATATAACAGAAGTATTCCTGCGCTATCCCGGAATTTCGTTACCATAAGTTTGGTAGCCACCCTTGGAACCTTGAATTTGCGCGGTGGATTTTCTCCCTTTTTAATTTACTAACATGGACTCTTGTTTGTTTCTGAACTGTACTGATAATTCCGTGTTTCAAGACAGGTTACAAGGCGATCGCACATATAATTCTCGCATAAACGAAGAAACCACGCGAATTTTCAACTCTTCGTCCCCAATCTAGCGGAATTAACATAACTGACTATGAAGTATTTGTCCGACACTATAACTGCTGATCTTTAGATTCTCTGCTATGTGACAAACCTGTATTTAACGGTCTTCGAGGACTAATTTTACCACTTTAATTTTTTTCTTCCGTAACAATTGATGCTCATCGTCTTTAATTGACTCTCACCCTTCTTTAAGCAACCTAATCTACCCTTTTGATCGTTGCTTATGATGGAGCACATTGTAGTTATGTGGTCAAAACTTCTTGTAGATTTATTCGGCACTTTTTTCTTTTTTTTACAAGGTACTTTAACACAACATGGTATTTAATTTCTATAATGACAAAGTTTTGCTAGAAGTATTGGTTGTTAGACTATTTTACTTAATAACTGTTACTTCAATCCTGTTCAAAATTGACACATAAGCTATTAAAATTAATTATGTACACATACAGTCCGAATTTTTTTAAACACCACCTTCTAGACGAGACTCACTTTCCGTCGGACGGCTTTTGGAAAAAAATTAAATAGAAAGATGGGCCCCACCGGAAAATAGAAGCATCTAATGGAATTAACGGTAAGGTTAAAAGAGAACTTCGCCTAAACTATTGCAACTTTGTTTTTAGCAAGTATTTATGAAAAGAAGTAGATATGTTAAGGAACTTATAGATGTGAATTTCGTAGGGCCTCCCTATTGACTAATAGTTTTAGTAGAAAAACATGCTTTGCATTATGTAAGAATCGAAAAGATGTTGTTACTTGTATGAAGATGGAAGGAAGTTTTACCAACAAAAGAAAAGTATAAGTAATAGATGATATATATAGGTTTATTTAAACTATAATAGCAAGAAGAAAAGGGTTGATATCCTTTAGTAAGAGCGTAAAGGTGTGAGATAGCGAGTTATGACGGAAATAGACTTCCAACCTTAAAGTTTAACAAAGTTAGACGTTTGTAAAGTCTCGAGACAAATTTGATCTTACCTTATTGGTCAAGCATGTTACTAGTATGATATTATCTTTAACATACGTCGCGGCTTAGCATAGCGCACTTCATGAACTAATAAAATTTATAAAAATCATATAGGTACTCATACTAAATTTAAATAAAAATAAAGGTAAAAATAAAACGAAATAAAAATAATTTACTTCGAATCTCGAGATTTCAACTCTGAGAAATATGCCATAAAAGAAAATAAATTTTTTATAACTGGTCGTTAGTTGAAGAAAAGAGATAAAAAAAGAATAAAAGGAACACAGAGCTATCACAAATCTAATCGTCTGATACAACTATCTCTAATAATAGGATCGAAGAAAAAGTTCCCCCCCGCCCCAAATTATGGCCAAAAGTTAATAGGGCATTTTAAAGAACTAATGTAATATAAGCAAAGCTACGAAATGTGTTTCATTATAGTATTATGGTCTTCTTCGTCAAATAACCATCGAGATATTTAAAAAGTTTTTAAGGTTGATATTTATCAGTTTCCAAAAGATAAGCGTCTTAAAGTATTAATAAGATGCTTATTGTCAGAATAGACCAAATATCAATATTTCTGAAGCCCTAAATGATCAAGGATCTAACCCAACTGAAGTATATTGAGAATGAGAAAAGGGATACAACATATAAAAATAACTTACGTTTTAGTTAAGCTACCTAAATTTGACAAAAAAATATAAGATATTACTGCAGTCTGTAGAAGTAGCGTAACTGTTAAGTCTTTATAACAAAGGAATTTTAATAATTATCGCCTTCTCTGTGAGGTATATTGGCCACACTCAAAAAATTGTTAGTGGAAACCTCGTTGCAATGGCTGTGGTGAAGAAAACCCCTTATACGAACGCCCTCAGCCAAAAACTAATTCGTGTGCCTGTGCAAGCTGTAAAGGACACCATCCAGCAAACTAAAGGCTGTACTTCCTGGAAACGATAAAAAACCATTAGTACACAATACAAAGGTCAGTTTAAAAGTAGCTGCAAGTCCTGATTATAAAATAATTTAATCGAAGCCCGTTAATAAAAGGGAACTATTATGTAAACTCAGTCATATGTGAAAGTTACTAATAATTTCTTAAAAAATAAAGTGACCACTCCAATAAATTAAACAATCTTGTTATGACAATTTCCATTTCGGCAAAATCAAATAAAATAGTGCAACTGCTTACTTCCATTTGTATAAAATGAACTTTCAAAACTTTTTAAACATACGACCCTTGAAATTCTTTTTTAGGTTGCTCATAAAATTTGTGACGAATTGAGAGAATTCGTGAGTTCATTGAAAAGAAGTATATTAATATTGCTCTAGTTAATGAAACTCATTTAAAAATGTCAGATTAATATTAAAAAATTACTGCACATACCGCAACGATAGATACAACAGCAAAGGGGGCGGAACGGCCCTTTTGATAAAGAAGTGCATTCCTCACACTGAGCTGAGCTGAACTACAATTTTGAGAATGACATCATTAAAGCTGTTGGAGTATCTATAAGCTTGTGCTCAAGGAAAAACTGGATAATTGCAGTATATAAGCCCCCCGATAAGGATTTAACTTGTGCATCTATTGATAGAATATATGAAAATACGGCCTCAGCTATTGCAGCAGGAGCTTTTAATTAAAAACATCCCACTTGGAATAGCAAAAGGCGAGTTCCAATGGATGTTTTTTATATATGCTCTTAGGATTTACGGAGCTGTATTTGGGTTTCAAAACCTACACATTATTCAACCAGCCATTCATCGGATGTTTTAAATATAGCAGTACTAAAGATTATATTTTTTGGCTTCAATTTTTTAACTGACAGCGTCTCTTTCGGGAATTTTATAGGAAATACAATAACCAAGAGCGTTTTCCTTTACCTACTATGCGAGAAAGCGACCTTGGGGCGGAGAATGATGCTGACGAAAACGACACTTTTTGCTGATCCCTACGCTATTCAGTGTGCGCCATCTGCTTATTTAGTTGTTGACAAAGTGTCTTGGGAATTAAACTTTCTTGCTAATGTTGAGGAAGAGTTTGAGTCAATTTCCATAGCCGAAATCTTAAAGAATAACTAACGTTTTACCGAGACGAAAGGCGCATGGCTTCGATAATATCACGTACGTGCGATTATCTGCCTCATCAACTTTATAATGGCTCTCAGCGCCTTCCTATTGCGCTGGAAGGTGGCAACTGTTGTGATCCTCTCGAAGCTACCTCGACCGGTCTCTACATCAAGCAAATACAGGCCTACTAGCCTCTTGTCAGCCGTTGGCAAAGTAGCTGAGGCGGCCATACTGCACCTCTTAAAAGCATTTCGACAAGAACGCTTCACCGCTCAACAACTCCCTCGCTTAACAGAATTACGATCCGTGCCTTCAATTTAAAGAAGGCGGCGAGAGCCGTTTTCACGAAAAAGCGTTTTACTTAGGTTGGCATTAGGTAGCCCACCCTACTGTCCTTTCTAATGTGATCAATTCTTACCTCAAGGGCGCGCTTTTAATATTCGCGTGGGCGCTCGCGCTCACCCTAAGACTAATAACAGTCGTAGTCCCAGAAATTTTTCTTCTGTCGCCCACACTCTTTGCACTGTGCGTACGCGACGTGCCTCACTCTGACGGCCCCCACACTCGGATTGCCTTATACACGAATGACACAACGATTTACTCCTCGTCAAAGTCACCTACCCTCGCGCCAGCATCTGCAGTACTACCTAGTGTCCCTTGCCAACTGATGTCGTAGTTGGATAATTACTATTAATGCGGAAAAGAGCAAAACCCTTTTCTTCACAAAGCGCACTACACCACTACTGCCACTAACTTCAAAAAAGGTTCTGACGCGAAAAGCCGGGGGTCATTACCGACAGTAAACTCTCGTGGCGGCCGCACATAAAATATATCGTAAAGAAGGTCAAGGCGGCAGTTAAAAACTTTACTCTTTATTTTGTGCTAGAAGACGCTTGTATGTGTGGTGTATCCTTCTAATCATGACATACGCGTCTACTGCCTGGGCCTACGACTCACCGGCAGTAGTCTCATCGCTTCCAGTGAGACAAAAAAAGCTGCAACGAAACATAATGGGTGCGCTGTGATTTGTTCGTAACGGTACCTTACATTAAGACCTCCAGGTTCAACCTCTGGGTAATGTTCTTCGACGCAAAGCCAACGCCACCTACGAATCGGCTCAGGCAGCACGCCAATAGATTACTAGCGGATCAGGTCATTTAAAAAACCTGGGACGGCGCACGCTATCGCCGACCGCGTAATGAACTCTAAATATACAATATGTATTAGGGATAGAATTTTTTTGAATATATGTATATATGAGATTGTTTTAACACCGGCTTATAGTTAATGTCTACATTATCACCCTGTTGGGAGCTCGAAAATACAATGTCTTCTTTACGACCCGATCGAGCAACAGGTAATATTATTAATAAAAAAAAACAATGCTAGTCACATTCATTTTTGTCTGCACTTTTTGATTGTTTCTTACGTGTGTAATTAGTGTATACCTGTAT